CTATAATTCTGGCATGAATGTATCAAATATGGAATTGAATAGTGAACTGAATTCCATGTTCTGAAAATAATGATTGCTTGACGATTAACGCGTTCGGTATGCATTCCACTCTATTTTGTCCCTGAGCCCGTGGATTCTTAACTGAATCGTGTGAAACTGTCGTGCGTTTAGAAGAGATCTCAGTCACGCTCTCCGGCAAATGATGTATCCGATTCGCATGGTTTCATTCGCTGATCGATAAGATCGACCGAGGCAGCGTCGAGAGACCCGACACTCAGGCCGGGTTGTTCACGCAGCTATGCACTTTGAACTTGGAATCATGGTCGATAATCGACGGATCGTAGCTGTCGATTTTGGGATCAGTTTCCTCGTCTCAGCGTTGAAGCTGCGATGCATCTCCGATCGTTTGACGCGGGATTAGAGGTCGTCAGAGGCTGGATTAAATCACGTCGAACAATCGTCGTTGCGTAACGAAATCGATCGATAAATGCACGAGTCACTTGTTACGCGCGAGAAGATCGGACGATGTTTCCAGTGATTCTAATTGCGCGAATAAAAATAGACACGGTCCTTGGAAAAGATTTATGTAAACGTAACTGGAACCTTTCGACACGATCCCCATGAATAATTAATACGCTCGAGATGATCGACAAACGCGTGCAACAGATATTGCTCGACGCTCCGACCGCATCCTTAATCGATCGTTCAGGGTCTGCAATTTACACGCGACCCACGCGCAAATCGTATTGCAATTTCCAGAAACTAGATAACGAAACAATCAAAAGTGAGAGTGAGAGCGATAGAGAGAGAGAGAGAGAGAGAGAAAGAGAGAGAGAGAGAGAGAAAGAGAGAGACAAAGAGAGAGAGAAAGCTGGGAGATGAGTGCGTCGAACGCAAATTTTATAGGAGACGAAGGAAACTTCCCAAGTTCAACCACACGCATGGGTGATGAAGATATTTCGTACGTGTGTGTGTATATGTGTATCAATTTTATCGTCGTGGTCGAAAGGAGAGCTGTTTCCAAGTTTCATAAACAAAATCAAATCTCGCTAGGCTAATCAAATAAAGAGATAGAAAAGACAGATAGACGTAGGCAGGGAGAGAGAGAGAGAAGAGAGTGAAAACGCTATGCCTCGGAGCCGACACGATTCTCTGCACACACGTTTCAGAAATACACTCATCGAAGTTCGTCTAAACTATTCCAATTAATCGGGATCGATCGAAAATAGTAGCATGGTCTCTGGAAATTCGCACGGGAACGAAGCAAAAAGTTCGTGAATCGGTTCGGACTTTAATAAAAAAAAAAAAAATTCCAGTACGACGGACGTTCCTCACGATCTTTTGCCCGATCTTATTTTTTTTTTTTAACACCGTTCTTTCCGATCGTTCCTCGGTTCGCCGCTCGTGCTTGGCTCCTCGCGACCGAGGGGGCAAGTTCAAGGGGAAGCGGAAACGATTAAATAGTAGAAACAACTGCTTACCTGATTCCTCAGTTTGGTGATATTCTGGCCGCCCTTGCCGATTATCGAACCGGCCACCTGAAGACAGAAAATCGGTTTTCTTTAAACTGCAACTCCCGTTGCAAATTTATGCAATTTTTAATCTCGTAATAAATCCCTGAATAAAATTTTAATTTAAACAGAAATATTAACTTAAATATGTCGACGATCTGCAAGAAAATTTTGTATTCTTCCATAATTTTAGATAAAAAATTGTGACGTAATTAATTTGTAATAAAATATTTATATATAAAATAATTTGTAATTTTAATTAATTTGTAATCCAGGTAATTATGTGCGTACGCGGATTCGACCTCGACACGAAATCGCGAAAGACGGAATACGATTTAAATCCGTTCGATTTTCGTGGGAAAGATAGAGAGAAAGGTCAGGCCGTGTCATGGTCAATCGCGTTCCGTGGATTAACAAGCGGTACGTTGCGACAGGTAGAACGCAGGAAAACGCACGGAGATAATTACACCTTCTCTGAATGATATCATTCTCGAAAGGAGCCGCGATCGACCCTGACACCGACAATCGTTCTCGATTGCGTATGCGATCGACGCTCGATCGTCGGTGCGCGACGAGGACAAGAAATCGAACCGGTCGGGGCTGACCGTAGAAGACTGCAAAGAGGCTGCCTTTGTTCCAAACGCAATCTGAATCGCGAACGTTGTCAATCTTTATTGAGTCGATATCGAACTCTACGTATTGTCTTTTATGAAACCCCTGCCGTCTGATTCGTTCTTCGAGAATCATAATAAATTTCGTTCTCATAAAATTGACGAAAGACATTTTTGCCTGTTGATTTGTTTCCGACTTGCGAAATTCTCCACGAGAACTTCTTCGCGAAACTGCGACGTATTGGCAATCTTTTAAGGACGAATTTCTCTTTACGAGATATCGTACACGGAATCCAGCAATTTTTCCGTGACGGAAGGAAACCCGATAACGGTTCGCCGAGCGCGGCCACAATGACCGGAAGAACCTCGTGTTCCGCGAGCGCGAACGTGCCCACACGTGGTTGCAACGCGTTTTACGGTGTACCGCTCGACTTTTACCACGGCGCCATGTGCGGATGATGGCAAAAAATCGGCGGAAAACCACGCGCGTGGGAAAGAAAATACATTCAGATGCACGGGCAAGTTTACGGGGCTTATCTGACGGAGGAAACTTGAAGACGTTGCGTGACCGTGTTTGGAAATTCAATGAAAAGTTCACAGCGTTGCTAAATTTTACAAATAAACGCACAGATTTTTCAACCCATGCGGTTTTCCGTTACGTGCAGTAAATTATAAAATATTTGTAAAATTTAAAACGAAAAACGTGCAACGAATAAATAATAATTAATGCATGA